GAGCGCGCCAGCAGCAGCCGCCGTACGATCAGGGGCACCTGGCGGCGCGCCTGGCGGTGGCGCAGTACCGGGAGCTGGGGAATATGCTGTGCTCGATAGCAAAGAAGGAGCAGCAGGTGCTGCAGCAGCTCGAGTCGGTGGCGACAGTCACGCAGGAGGTGCGGGAGGACGTCGCGCGGCGCGCGACGCTCGTGCAGCAGCTGCAGGGCGCGATGGCCAACGCGAGGTGACCGCGCCGCCGCGCGGCCCGCTGCGCGCTTGTGCGCGCGGGCGGGCGGCTCGGCGGGCGGTGGCGCGGGGCGGCGCGGCCTATGCAGGGCAAGCGGCGGGGCGGGATGTGATCCGACGGGCCGTTCCGCGGTCAAACGCTTGTCCGTGGGTTTTGACCTGACGCTGACGTTCCTGGGAGGGGTATGTGGCCATTACAACGGCGTTTGTACATGATAGGCATGGCGTGCAAAGTGGGCGACCCCTCTTGACTGTTGATGACACAGCCCCCAATGGCTGGTGTAACGCAGACCCGCTGCAAAAGCCACAACTGAGCGCTGTCTGGGAGGGGAGGCACGTGCATGGCTCGCCTGCTGGGTTGGCAGCGGCGGCGAGAGGCATGGCAGGGCGCAGGGTCGCAGCGCTGCAAGCAAGGGCTGTGGCAACCGTTGCGCTGCGTGCTCTCGCGGCTCGCCGGCAAGCCCGCGGGTAGTGGCAGAGCGCACGAGAGGCGGGGCCGCGGCAGAGCGACAGCAGTTGAGGGACGCCGCGTCGCTTCCTGAAAGCCCAGGGGTCCTTGAACGACGCGTGGCGGGGGAGTACTGATGGTCAATCCAATTGCAAAATGGGCCGGCAACCTGCGCTGGGCGCGGCTCCTAGGCCGGCGCGGCATGCGATTTAGGGCCCTCTGGAGGCGTGTGTGGCGCCTCATGGGGGAGGAGGGGCGTCGGATGGGGGATGGGGCGAGGTCGCCGTGCCTGGCGGTGCGGTGGTGCGTCCAGATTCGGGTGCAGTGGCCAGGTGGGCCCGGTGCGGCTGGGCGGCTTGCCAGTTGGCACGCGCCAGGCGGGCGGGCCCGCTGCCCCGCCTTCTGCGATTTGGGGTGCAGATTGACAGCACAGGTGGTCCTCTATGCATGTGGCACAACGGCGGCGCCCGTAGAGGTGGTGGCGCGGGCGAGCAGCCGTGGCCACGGCTGACAACCTGCGTGTCTTCCGGGTGCACGCCAGCAGTGACAGCGGCTGCCCCCACCCAACGACCCGTGCCACCTCCGTCATTGACATTTTGAAGCTCACCGCCGCTCCACCCTAGTCGTCAAAGCAATCTGTCCGCAAACGCACGCCGAGACCTCGCACCGGGCGCCTTGTCCTCTGGTAAGCCGCCCGGCCGTAACAAGGCTGTCGGTCGCCTGTTAGGCGAGGTTATGCGCCTTCAGAGCTGCTTGCTGCCCCAGACAGCCGCGCAGCGAGTGCTGACCGCGCGACGGACGGGATTGATTTGCAGCACAAGCGCTCGACGGCCCCAAATACTAGCGCACGCCTGCAAGCCCGAAGTGTTCGTGCTTCTGAGACGTCGCATGTGCGCGGGCACACGCGGCGACAAAACCTCCCGCCGATCCCCGCCGCGTCCCAGGGTGCGCCACACGCAACGACGATGAGTGCCCACGCCGTCGCAGCCCTCTGCCTGTGCGCGGTCGTCAGCCTGTGCATCGCAGGTGAGGGCTTGCTGCAGCCCGAACTCTCGCAGGGTGGCGGCTCACGGCGCGCATATTGCAGCAATCCACATTGTAGATATGCGCACGCCAGCTGGGCGGTTTGGGAGCCTTGGTGGAGCCCTGGCATTCACATGAACCCACCTCTCCCCCTCCCTGCATACACCACCCTAAACCGCCCTCCAACTGACAACCCTTGACCTTCCATCCGCAGGCGCCGACGCGCGCATGCTGCGCGGCACTGACTACAAGCCATACACAGCTGTCGGCGTCACTGAGCGGCCCTTTCCCCAGTTCTACGCGACACGCCGCGGGGTGCGGCGCACTGGACGGGACGGAGCGGCCGCGGCCGCGGTCTGCCGCAATGCAGCGCGTGGTGGCCGCATGTAGATCGAAAACAACTGCAATCAGCGCGTTGGCCGTGTGCGGTGCGCTTGCACCCATCAAGATCGCCTCAGCTTGAACGCCGCACGGCCTGCGTAACCCACCTTTGTTCCCCTCCTCATTCCCCGCCTCCCACCCCACACCAGATGGACCCTACGATCCTCTGGCGCGCCGCAGTCTGGGCC